CATATAAAGCGAGAAGTCTCACTTACATGTTCTAATCTAGCAGTGGGAGAAAGGTGAATGATGTGAATCATATTGTTTCAATCAGTGAGCCTGTTCGCGGGCTACAATATGATTGGCTAAGCAAGCATACCGGTTACAATGACCTACCCAATCAAATCGCTTCAATCACTGCTAATTATAATCGGTTTTTTGTTCAGGCAATTCACATCGCTAGCATCAATCGAGTGCCACAAGTTCTGTTGCTACAACATGTACTACATTGCACCGTCAATGTCAATATAATAAGCTCCATGTGCGGAGGGACGTCGGACCTGTGGTCGGCCATATAGAGGCATCTGATCAAGTTTTGTTTCGACTGGTATTTAGTCTCATCCCCATGTTATAATCTAGTAGTGAACGAAACGATATGCTTGGCTCGGCAAACATACCGGACCAGGTTATAATTTCTAACCAAATAAACCCTTTCGCCCCATGTAAGGTAATCCAGAATCCGACTTTTAATAGCTTTGCAATCCGGATTCAGACAGTGGAATCCAGAATCCAAACATCGGAGAAATCCGGAATCCTTATCCTGGGACAATTTCTGAAATCCTGAATCCGCAACCGATCTGGAATCCAAGTAGTGGAATCCGGAATCCAAGGAGCGGAATCCGAAATCCAAGGAATGGAATCCGGAATCTACGGAGTGCATGGATTACTTTACATGGGCCGAACCCTTCCAGAAAATAAGGCCTTGGCTATAGAGGCTCGTTTTCGGGATTGAGATATTGGCTTTAGATTTGGGATTGAGATATTTGGCTTGTTTTCGATGACCTAATTATATCAAAGTCTTCATATTATCTAATATAACTGAATGATTTCGTAAATATGTCACCTTTCACAAGATAAAGGGCTCTAAATCTAGTTAATATCTCATGAAATCACGAAAACGAGGCCCTATAGCCGGTTTTTTGCTTGGGCAATTCATATCGCTATCTTCAATCAAATGCAAGTTCAGCTGTACTAAGATAATAACGTGGAAGTGAGATTCATATGCAGTAGATCTAGTATCTGCTCGCCTTTCGTTGCTTACAGCTGGGAGGGCTGCGATATAAGCTATCCGTCGCTCTGTCTCGCTCAAAAATATTCCATCCTGGGGTAACTCTTCTTTAAGTTGTAAGTCTTCTGTAAGTCATAACCCGAACCATTTACTACTTCAATGCAGTAGTTGCAGAAGTTCAATTGAATTTTAGATCGAAAGTTCATATTACATGTAGCTTTCTTTTCAAAGAAAGTTTTATATTGTAACTCAGATCTGATTATGTTTTTTTATATATGACAAATGATATCAAATTACATAGTATGATAATCTAAATTTCATTACGACACCAAACATAAATACATCGTGCTTTATATATACAGGGTGTGTGCGTGTCGATCATGCTAATTGACAAGTCATTTTGCCAAATATCAATGATGCATTATAATTAAATTATATAGCGTCCAAATTGGAAGAATACTAATTAAATTAAATAGCAAAATTAATATAATACAAATGATGCGTTATTTTAGTTAGGATAATTCAGTTATCTTTAATTCATATTTTCTGATTGTTCTTTCACTCTCCATGCCACGTCCATGTACTTAGTCACTTCAGAATTTTGTCTTGGGTGATGCAATCTGGGATCTGTACGCTGTCCATCAATCTATGGAAAACACATAAAACACGTCATGCATTGGCACGAAGTTTGTACGTTTACAGCGGTAAGCACGTTTGTACGTTTACTACGGTAAGCAGGTTCGGGTGTGGTGTATGAATAAAACATGCACGGCTTAGATTAAGGCACGGTACAATTTATTTAGGGTTATTAAATGTTGACTTGAACCCTGCTTTAAAACCAATAACCTGATTGATATTTTCCTAAGGCTATATAGGGTCAGATCCGTACGGATATTTCACAAATTTTTACAAATGCACTGCACTCCCGGACTCGTACCCAGTCGCCAAGGCTATAAATTATACATAATAGTACATATAGAAATCAGTGGACTGAAGAGTGTGATAAGGCTTAATCATTCCATCATGGAGGAATGATCAATCCTCATTCAGGGAGTGGGTACAAGTCAGCTCCAGTCCTTATTACCCTCACCCTGTTGCGACATTATTACTGTATATGCTTAAGAACCTTGGAAGATCAATCAAATCTTCCTTTTCCCGGTATTCGAGTAAAATCGTCACTTCTCTGCCCCTATATCTATCAATTAAAACAGTGTTTCCCATTTTCCTTACGGTCCACGCATCTATAATGCTACGTTTACACCTTAGTATCCGCATGGATAATAAAATAAATGGATAGGAAACTAATGTTTTCAATGGGCTGATGGCGTGGTTAGATGTTGAAACCTAGTTGCAAACCAAATTCTCAAAAACGGCATGTTTAGCAATAATACAGCTAAACATTTTAGTCAAAGAGCAAATAAATATGACTACGCCATTCTACGATGAAATCTCTAAGTATTCCCAGTCAATTTTAGCAAATATTTCAAGCACTAAACAGTGAAAAATACATCGCAAATTTCGTTAAAATTGGGGACGCCAATTTCGTAGCTACAAAATTTAATGTAAAAAAATACAAAACAAAGACGAAAAAGATTTACCTTGAATACTTTGTCGTGGCTTAGGCATGTTTTTAAAACAATTAGACCAGTTTATGCTTCAATATTACTCTTTTATTATAGCGGAAAGTATAGCGAAACAACAAAAATGCCGAGAACTTTGCAATACGTGTGACGTCACAGATTGCAACCAGGTTGTTTTTACTTACGTCAGCTAGAGTCCTATCCATTTATTTTATTATCCATGGTATCCGATACGGAATGTACAACTTTAGGCGGTTTTCCACTTCGCCCGTACCGTAACGTATCGGTGAGCATGCGCAGATTGAAAAGAGGTCTATAAATCCACGTACTTCCGGGTGTATTCGCGTATCAAAATAAAAAGTTCGTCGCAAGTCAACTTTTTGGTGTACTACGGAAGTACTAACCAATCAATATTCACGAAATTTTGAAATTTAAAAACGTTTTCGCTACGTTACGCGGTACGATACGCTTGAAGTGGAAAACGGCCTTTTCCGAAGCTGAGCAAAACAACATCCGTCTTTTGCAATAATTTCACTGAAAATAACGTTCCTAAAAGGGAAACGGAATTAACGGATAGATATTTTTTCACGTCGCTCCAAAAAACTATCCGGTACAGTCAGTAGGCCTATGAACGTAACCAAAAATACCTTTACAAATGAACAGATTGAAATTGGATTTCCATATTCCCAACTAAAATCCATACCCAGTGACAGCAGTTTGGAAACACAATGTATACAATTTACAAATAATATATATCCATTCCTTACCAAAGGTTGAGTATTCCAACCATAATCCTGATTTGAGGTTAGTGGAAATTCAAATTTTTCTACCGGAGTTCGATGTGCCTTCGTTATAACTTCCAGGAATGTGTCTAAGAAATTGGAATAGAAACTGTGCATGAAAACTAATCGCGGCGCTATTTCCAGGAATTTCTCTGCCTCGTAACTGTATACCCAGGCGCTGTAGTTTACTATCAGGTAACCTGAAGTTCAGGCCCTAATCACAGAATAGGGCCTGACACAAAACCTATCTAAAGTGTGGGATTCCCGTCCACCTGGTGGACGGGAAATCTGATTGGTTGATCAGCATCATGAAGGATTTTGATTGGTTGCAAGTTTACATAAAAAACAGTTTTAAAAATAGCTCGGTCAAGGCGACAATTAATATAAAGGTCAAACGCACGTACAAATTCCATTATCGATTTCTTCGAATTTCTTTTTCTTTTATGATTTATGGCAGAATAAATCAAACAAACAATATTTTGAAAGGGCTTTATCAAAATCTTGGACGAATTTTGGACACACGACGCCGAAAGAACAGCCAAACTAAGTCATGTATTCGAAAGCTTGTTGTTGACAGCCAAGATGTTATGCCAACTGGCTTCGCCGGCAAAAGTCTTATTTTTAATATCAGGTCCTACCGGCGTTGTTTTCTGAGCTACATCGCCTTCTTCGTGGTACGATTGAGAATTTCATTGTTGCTGTTGTTAGCCCGTTTTAATAAAGTATATCCCTAATATCCGCGTCCAGCAAGTTGAGACCTTGAGAAAGCTTGGCAGTCAAGCCGTGCACAGAACTGACTAATTAAATCTTTGTCTGAATCTTACTTATATAAAAGTACCTTGAATTTTTAAGTTTAATTATAAAGCAAAATGCACACTCTGCGGACATGTTCATGAGAATATAATTTTTTTGTGTAACGAAATCTACAACAGTTGTCAATCATATTGCATGTTGTGTCTAAAAATAACATGTGGGCGTCCCACGGTCTAGACAGGTTTTGTGTCAGGCCCTATTTCAAATTAGGGCCTGAACTTCAGGTTAACTATCAGGATTTTAGGTACATCTCACTCGAGTCGATATAACTTATTGTTGAAAGGATTTGTAGATAAAATTTTTATACTGATGTTGAAGGTATTTTTATACATTTATTAGATCTAACCAGGAGCGATTACAAAAGAATGCAACTGTCGGCGCTCTAGCTGATCGAACCTGCGATTTTAGCTTATAAAGTACTTTAGCGATTTTAGTACCTTCGACTCGGGCTTACGGCGCCTTGGCCATTAAGCACGCCATTGTCTTATGTATTTCCTGTCATTATTAATATGTTGAAGGCAGGTAGTTTCTCTGCTGGCAGAGGTCTCTATTTGTACTAGAAAGCGAAGGAGAAGAGACCTCTGCTTAGATCTGACACGTTTTCTGTCGCGCATGTGCACAAATTGCCATGACAATGAGCGATGTTCACCACGTGATATCAAACCGGTTTTTGCGGTAGCAACTTGGTATTTCAAAGACTTACCGTAGTTTGAAGGCAAACAAATGTATCTCAGCCCGATAAAACAGAAAAGATTGCTTTCCTTTGTTCTTCTGTCACTGCTTTCACAGTTTCATCTTTGAAAATAACATGAAAAACCTCGAATGACCTACACGCTGTGCAAGCCGCCATTTTGACACTACGGGCTCAATGTCATTCAGGGCCGCCGAGAGGTTAGCGGGGACCCGGGGAAAATTTTATTTAGGGGGCCCTATCTAAAAAATTTTCGGGAAAATTTTTTTTTTTGAGAACAACCTCCCCCCCCCGTCGACAACTTTTTTTATCTAATTTTTTTATGCCAAATTTCGGTACTTAGCCCAAAAACAGATATCTTGTCCTTTGCGCGGAAATATTTAGCCTAGGAAATATTTAACACATAAAAAAGACTGGGGCCCAACAAAATATTTTCAGGGGCCCCCAGCACCTCGAGGCCCGAGGCAATTTGCCCCCTGCCCCCCTCTCTGCGCGGGCGCGGCCCTGATGTCATTACAGCGTAATTCAGCTCTGAGCATGCGTACTATTTGTTTCTCTAAACCGGTTTCAGAACTTGCTTTACAAACTGGTTTGACTCGTTCACGGTCCACGATCATGGACTGAGGAAGTGTCAGATCTAGGCAGAGGTCTCTTCTCCTTCGCTTCCCAGAACAAATAGAGACCTCTGCCAGCAGGGAAGCTGATCGCGCATCCTCCATATACGTAACTAAGCTGGAGTCGATTAAATGTTTTGTGTTTGCAATTGTGCTAGTCTATCTTAAATTAAAGTCTATCCTGTGAGATAAATTTATGTTATGAGTTATAATAAGTTTGTACCAGCTCAAGTCAGTGCAACAATAATCACTGTAGTACCAGTTATATAAATATATACTGATTGAGATAGAGACTGATTTAGTTTATTTATCATTGCTGCCGCAGCGAGCGAGCCTGAAGCGAGCGAGCAAGGCAGCAGATCCTAATTTCGTTTTGTGGGTCGAAATCAAAATTTTCTATTTGGCGCATTGCATGACGGTACCAGTGAATTTTAACCGTGGTGCAGCGCGGTCAGGCATAAGGCAAACAGGCAATGTGATCATGTTTCATCTTTGGTCTTCTTTTCTGGAAAGCCATAGCTGGCTTAAAGTGATCAAACGGCATTTTGTTGGGTGCTTTTAGCATTATACGGCGGTGCTTTTGGCATTATACACGGTGCTTTCGCCATTATACGCGGTGGTTCCAGTATTATACGCGGTGCTTTCACCATTTATATACGCGATGCTTTTGCAATTATACGCAGTGGTTCGAGCACTATATGCGGTGCCTTTAATATTATACGCGATGCTAGCTTTCATTCAACATTATTTCCATATTCTTTCCATGACATGTATATGATTTAACGATTGCTTAAATTTTGTATGTGCATGGTTGACAAATGCTTTTTGCCTATGGTCTGCAAGGACAATGACATGCTTTTCTGTGTATATACATGTAAATGAATATAACGCAGCGAATGCGCCAAACAGTATAAACGCGGCTGAAATACGATATTAAAATCTTAAATGTGCCGTAGGATTTACAAATGCTTTGTCATTTGTATTTATACTTGTACTGCATCACAAGGCAGTACGTACTGTAAGTGAAAAAACTCTACATGTGAGATTGTCTTGTATATATTTTTGCTTTCTTTGATAAACACTATTAAACACGCAAATTTTAATTAGTGAGACGCAATGTTAAATGTCACCTGCATGACATTGTCATTGCCCTTTAACCCCTGGTCTAATTGGCCGCTTTTGAAAATATTGATCATGACGAACCGCACTGCCCACAGTTAATAGCCTTAATTAAATGCAAACTTTGTGTTTTAAAAACGGGTTAGGATAAAACGCGGATACGGACGGATGAATGACGGACGGACCGGACGGATGACATATACAGGGTGTATAAAAAAAAACTGAACAGATTTGAAATTGCTCTTAATTTCGCAAAACACCAATTTGTGTCCGGTTTTTTATATATATAAATTCTTTGGGTACTTATAATGTAGAATAATGAAAAAAATTTCTCAAACTCAAATTTTGTGAACCAGGGGTGTGTGTCTTTTCCAACAAATTAAAAATGGCTCGCGCACAAAATATAAAAGTTTTAATCATATTTTGAGTTAATATATGGAAACTTTGTTTGATTTTTAATTACTGTACAAAATTTCAGCCTTTCGCATGCTTAATTAATGCCTTTACCTAATTTGCATATTGCTAACATATGCAAATTAGGCAAAGGCATTAATTAAGCATGCAAATAGCTAATTTTTAGGAAAAATGTAACTTTGCGTGAATAGTTAAACGGCTTAAACTAAACCAATTTGTCTGAAATTTTGTACAGTAATTAAAAACCCGACAAATTTTCCATCTATTAACTCAAAATATGATTAAAGCTTTTAACTTTTGTGCGCAAGCATTTTTAATTTG